CAGCAACTAGTTACAGGACCTTTTCTCCAGTCATTTCAAAAGCTCAAAGATGTATCTTATTCTGAGTGTATAGAGTTCATTTAAATGTTGTGCTTCTGCAGAGATATAATGCGAAAACGGAAAAAGAGGCCAGTTCCACGAATATAGGTGTCACCGAAATATATATTTTTTAATATTATTTTTATATAGCGAAAGACAGTATCAGGAAGAAACTTGCTGCAGCAATAAAGGAACACCAGGTCTACACAGCAGATGTGTTATCAATACCTTCTGCTCAGCCAACTGTGAGAAATGATGTTCGAATATAGATGGTGCGCGATAATCAGTGGCTTAAGGCCTTTCTACACTAGCACTTCTAATGCGCATTGAACTGGTTTGAAACCGGTTCCAGTCATTCCACACCTGATGCGCATTGACTTCAATGCGCATTAAGCCAAACCACCTCCATATGTGGTTTGAATGCGCATTCAATAGATAACCAATGGCAGCTGGATCAGAAATGCTATCAAAATATACATGATCCTGATGATAGTGTGGAATCAATTGATGCGCATTAATAAGCCGACTTCTATGGAACGCCATCCTGGACAAAATTCCTCATCAATAATATAAATATGGAAAGGGGTAGGGTCTCAAAAGCGGACGGACGGACGGACCCGCCCCGCCCGAAAAGGACGGACGGACGGACTGATGCGGACCCGACAGGACCATAAATATCCATGTAAAGGACAATCATTCATGGATAGCCTGTCTTTAAAACACTTCTATACATGGACAATGAATTTATGTACGTATTGACTTAATTTGACTATGCTAGGACCAATAGAAGAGGTCATGTTAGCGAAAATTTAACTTTATCAATGCAAAATTGCTACTACAGGCTGCATGAAGCATCACAATACTGAACCATCACTTGAATTCTATTTGTTATTCTTAATAGGAGTTCAGTGACACCATTTTAATGATTTTTCTATATTATTTGGTGTAAATCCATAGTGAAATTTTATGATTAATTTTTATCAGTGCTATTGCATGCAACACTATACTGAGATACTGATTTCATTTAATTACACAATTAAAATAATAATAGTTCAATATCCTTGAAATCACTGCTCTTTAAAGATAAGGAGACCCTTTGAAATAGTTATATTGAGCTTTAGAATCTAGCCAAAAATTGACTTTTAGTTTGCTATACATCATACTGTGTTGTGATGGAGTGCTCCGATATGTTGTCCAAGTATAAATTCTATTGTAATGGTTATGCTCTGTCATAACATTGTTTATTAGATAACTTCAAAATTTTTGAGGCAATGGCTTATGACTCTCATGCTTCACAGTTTCAGGTACAATTTGCTATTGAAATGGAATATCATTTTTATATAGGTGGAAGACAATAACTATTAGCGTTGCAACCAGATTTGCTTAGTGCTAAGCAACTCTTTACAATGATTTACAAGCATTGAAAAGGGATCTGCAAAAAAAGTGTGGCATTCCTAGCCCAGGTATGACAAAAATAAATATACTAGAAGTAACTATAATTTTTACATTTATTACGTAGGATAACTACTTTTTGGCTGGATTCTAAAGCTCAATATAACTATTTCAAAGGGTCTCCTTATATTTAAAGAGC